CCAACACATATATAGGGAGGCTAATTGTGCAGCAGATTACTTGGCGAGCTTCGCAGACTCATACCCAGTTGGCCTTCATCGATTGGATTCCCCACCGACCGGGCTAGGCTCTTGGATCGATCATGACATTAAAGGGGTGTCATATCCCCGTCGAGTGTTAGCCTAGTATTTTAATCTCTTTCTTTGTACCAAAAAAAAAACTGAAATATATATGTATTATTGTTCTAAGATAAAAGGGTATATATTTTTGTGAATTTTATAATTATTATTATCCTAAATGTAGTATTCAACAATAAAATAACATCGCTAAAAGGGAGTGTATGATTTTCCTGTCCAATTTATACTCTACTATGTATTTTATTATACTGGATACCTGATTATATTTTTATGATTTACATCATATTTGTACACGTGTCATGCATTCCACGTGATGATAAATAATAAAATAATAAATAATAAAATATTAAAGATCTTTATGGTGACATCATATTTGTATATGTTGCCTCGATTTTTGGCCATTAGATCATTATGGCCGAACTTCCATTTGTGTAAAGAGAAAGAATTTGCACTACCAACCAATCAATATACTTTATATTATATTTATACACCTAATAATTACTTATTTGCAAAGATACTAAATTCACCCTATTTATTTGCACTTATACCAGATTTTAAGTTTGTTAAATATGTATTTTAAATATAGAAGGGCGTGTAATATTCATAATTAATCTCGAATATTAAAGAATTAACCCACCCACACCTCGTGTCAACTGCTTATTACTTGTCAGTCATCCTTCAAACACGGTAAACCCTAGTAGGTAGTCTTCAATGGCCAAAACAAAAACACCACACATTGTTGGGAAAAAAATATGCGACCCGTGCCACTTGGGATTGCGGATGGCGGTGGAGGGATGCGGAGGGATAGGAGAGAGAGGGCTAGCATGCGGAGAGTGAAAGGTGAGGCCGAAAACTGAGGTGATACGATGAGGAGTTGCGGAGACGGTGGCGCCGGCGGTCGACCCACATCTGCAGCACCTTCTCCAACACCTCCACGTCGGTCGACGATTAGGTTGTTACCAAGGTCTACCTCATCAGACATAGAGAGTGCCACATGAACCTAAGGCCCGTTTTTTATTGCGGGTCGGTTTCCCGACGCTGCCCCCGTGCCTAACAGTAAACAATGACGCGTCCCTCCCCTCCCCCTCCTCCTTCCCAGCGGGAAGGTCAAGTTTGGAAAACGACGATACATCTCTCCCCTAAGTTGGAGATGATGAAGGCGAGGTTGAAGCTCTGACTCATTACAATGTCGACAGTATATGTTGCGTTTAAATACAATATAGTTTTAGTATATATTCTCGCCGGCACAATTTCAGTGACGAGCTTCAGCTCGTTTCAGTATATATTTGTTGAGTACCTTTTTTTGTGGATGTTTGGTTTTCTTGTTTTTAATGGTTATTTGATGTTTATTCATAGTTTTTGTTGGTATATTGGGATAATTTTTTTGTTGAAGAATAATTGACAAATGAGCGTGCTATTTGTTTTATGTTTTGTTATTATTGTATATTAGGAGATTATTGCAACATATACTGAATATAAACTAACTATAAACACAATATATGCTGCACAATCAAAAAAAATCTGAGAGCTGAAAAAAATTATTTAATATAAAAGCAACACATAGTTCATTGTAGCTGCAATTTTTATGAAAAAAAAACAATACATTATCTTCAATAAAACATAGTTAAAGGAACGACCAAAAGAAAAATACGAAACAAAAATTTTCGATCGAGTAAATTACTTTATTATGTCTTTATATTTTTCGAAACTTTTTTCGGAACGAAATTCAAACATCACAATTTTGGTTAGATAAATATATTGAAAATATATTGAGTTTTGCGCAACATATACTGAAAATGTCCAGTGGCCAATGAAATTTATCGTCCTTCTCTCTTCTCTCCTTATCGCCGCCATCTTCTTCGGCGACATCCACCCAGTCGGACTTGTTGCATATACCACTGGAAAAATATGATTTCTTGAATGATAAAAAAGTAATAAAAAATACAAAAAACGAACACACAAACATATAATTTCGATAAGAAATATAGTTCAATATGCATTATATTTTTCGAATTTTGTTCACGAGTGTAAAACTTGATTGGCCTCCCCTGTTTCTCAGCTTTTTTGAGTCGTCGTCGCCTACTTGCTGAAAGAAAAATAGAATGGCCAATCATGAATTCTATGACGTTTTTAAGACCTCACTAATCAGCCTTACACTTTCACTTTTGAGTTCATAATGAATGAAAGAAATGAACACCCGAAAAATAATGAGAAATCTCCCCTCCTT